TATGTTTGCGCAATACCATATAGATCCATGAATATAGTATAGAATTTGACGAGTGATATCCATACTTTTCTGTTGCTAACAAGTGAAGAGTGAAACGAATGTTACTTTAATATGGTTTTCACACAATAAATTTGCGAATTTTATAATATAATCTCGAACCACAATTATTACACAGACGTTATTAGTGTTTCTATGTCTGTAGCATAAAATATTTTATTTTATCAGAGCAGCCGTCAATCATACAGATAATTTTTCTCTTCTATATTACTGCAAAATATGATTCGACTTAATAATTCCATTAGGGAGACAAACAATAACGTTTGATGGAGTGGGATGTGTGACAGATCGTATGTACAAACAATACGATAGACTCTACCAATCAATATTTTCAGCCGTTTTGAGTGTTAATTGTGTAGTATGCGATCGAGCGTTATTCTTCAATTAAAGGAATTTCTGTTCCCTGGATACTTCGTTATTATTGTTTCGTTATCGCAGGTTATTATTAAAAAACCGATACACACAAAAAATTGTACCTCCACCATCCCTAACAATAATTATCACCTCTGTACCAGACGATGATTGATTCTTGAATTTTTTTAGTTTGACATTTTAAAATGCTTACGAATTAATCCACTAACTTTTAAAATTTTGTATCATTTCCCTAGTTTACACCATGTTGTTCAAACATTTCGGAACCAATTTCGGGTAATATAATCGTATTGAATACCGAAAATCTCTTACACAGAACGCTGATCTCCTAAAGTACATATCTCGAGGAGACTTACCATTCTTAAATGAATGATAAAAGCTTTATCAAATTAATTTAAAAGGCTTCATTCAGTTTACTTATAAGGGTGTCAATTAAATATTCTAAAAAGTATCATAATTTTTATTTTGATATTATTTAAATCAAAGTACCCCTCTTGCATGAGGTGCATAAATGTGTACGAGGTATTATTATTATTACAATATAAGGTTTTATGCACATCGTTTCAGGTCGATTAGTGGTGCCTTGATAATGGAAATTTTTATCTACTTCTTTACATTTTATAAATTATTTTCGTTGAAAGCACAGTTTATTTTATATAGAAACGAATGATTTGAAGTAAATCATAGAATCGTAACAACTTATAGAAAATAAGCATTTATACTGTACATTTAATTGAGAATATTCTTTTTTCTTGAGGTATTGAGATTCCAGTATCGAAAAATGAATTGTATATGTTAAATTCATTAGGACATGCCTACGAAAACTAATTTTCGTTTTCGTATTAAAATTCATACACCTGCGTGTTCTGTCAAGCATAGGAAACCTGCCGTTACTTTACAGGAATTAATTTACATAATGGCCTATATCTCAGAAATCCAGAATGATATTCACTTCAAACTTTAATTATGACTGAACTTCGAAATGAATTATTCGTGTAGGTAAGGCTATAGAATCTATGCATAATTTCCGTGAAATGCTTATTGCCTAATAAAGTTATATTTCGTCACGCTTAAAATAACGAAATATAATAAATCGTACAGTCTCGTGAACAGTGTCAAGAATTACATACAAAAATAAAAATATAAATTTGTTTAAACAATCTTGTTTTAGTTTGCTAATAGTTTGATTTAGGAACTTCATTTCTATATGATTAATTTGTAAATCAGTTTTTACGTATAAAAGATTACGTATAAAATTTAACTAGTTTCAAACTGTTAAGGTAATTATGGAACAAAATAAATATCTACGTACCTCCAGTATCTCGTAATTAATGCAGACTATTCTTATATTTTGCATAAAAATCAGCAGTCTAGTCATCCGAATAGAATTTTGCCCAATTCTGGTACATAATAATGCATTGCTTGATTAAAAGACTTCATTCGTATAAACAGAACAACATTATTTGTCAAAAGGATCATAGTAATTTTCAATGAAATAAATATTTCATTAACGATGGAAACGTTTCATTTCTTTCAGTGCATAGCTTTTGTCAATCGACGAACATTATTTTTTATCGGAGTAATATACAGGACGGATAAAAAATAAAATGCTGCAACCTGTTTGCTGTGAAAACGCACAGCAGATATCGACTTCAGTTTTTTTAATTAAACGTGGCAGGGAGGCTGATCGCCCGATGTGCAACAGAATTTTCTAGGTCAGCTGTTAAGGGTATAAAGTTCTCTCCCAATTTTTTAAAATGGAGCGCTGTATTAACTTATCTTGCATGAAGCTTCATTTTCGAGATAATAGGCTCCGGAATATTTGCCTGACGCAAATAGATAAAAACTGTATATTAATATTCGTCAAGCCATGGATTTCGTGTACTTAATCCGACCTCGATACCATCATCCGAGTTTTAACCTTTCTTTGGATTTGTAATTTTGTGTAAATGTATCTGAATCTTCGTGACTTGTAAACGGGTCTATAATTTTGTATAATACTTATTGCTATTGTGCACTTACTGTATAGTTTACAAAACACCGATTTCGAAAGAAGATGCAACTTTTTAATTTTCGAGATTCGTTTTGTGCTTGTTGCAATAGTTATAATTTCTATTTTTGTAGTAATATTGTGACGAACTCTTTTGTGCAACACTGATGAAATAACACTAATGAAACTTTTTAAAAATTCTGATAAAATTTCTTAAATACAACATTATCACATCACCATTTCACTTTATGACTTTTATTATAATTTCAATCTAATGTATTTTTATAAATGTTCATTTGTCTCTTGCATATTTCTTTACCGAGAAACATTCTTTTGCGAAATATGCGGTAAACGTGAGTGAAATTGAGAAATGTTTAATTTTTTTCTTTACCATTTTTATGATTGTTTGAAAGAAATTGTTTTATTCAAACACCACATTTTACTAAATAATATATTTCACGTAATACATTGTAAAATATATAATTTTTTAAAGACGGATCATTTGACCTGCTGCGGTAGGTTTAGTGTTAAACAATATTGTATTCTGATAATAATATTTATTAAAACATTCCGAGCCGAGCTATTTTTACTCGATACTTCACACTGGCCATTTATTTTACTAAAACTTGATATATTATATGTAATTATTAATTATCGTATATATAACAACAAAACAAACCTTATGTGGTGGAAATTAATTCTTCAGTTATAAATTTGATATAAACTATTTTTTAACGCATTAATTAAACATGTAAGCATGTACCATTGGTGGTACACGTGGCACGAAACGTGTTGAATTATTGAATATATTATTAAACAATGTCACAAATTTCCACACAATATTTTGATAAGGATATAAATTTCGGATCACCTCACTTTTCTCATACATCATTCGATCATTCAATGAATCGACTTTTACTTCTCTAATATCATTCGATAATTCAATTGTATCAATACTTAATAGAAAATAACTCCACACATCAAAAGTGATAAAGATATCCAGAATTTGCCAATTTCTGCGGATATTTTTCTATGTATCCAAAAAAATCAACACACTAGATCGCATTTGTAGAAGTTAGAAATCACGTTTCATTTTCAAAATACGATCGATAGAATTTTACAAAACGTGTCAAACGTATTATTTTGTTATACCGACACATTGATGTTACATTCTAATAAGTTATTGCACTATTAAATAGTTTATAATGAAAGTATACTGTACGATAAATGACATACGTTACAAATGTAAGAAAAGAAGCAATATTAAACAGTTAACGAGTACTATTCGTACGGGATGCAAAATGAACTTTTCTTGACATCCAACCATGTATGCTTCGATAGCAACGGTTAGTCGTCTGAGCTACGCGACAAATGTACACCCTGACCCCGATGTTTAATGAAATCAATTAATCTTAACAGACAGAAGGGATTTGAATGCTACCCGGTGATAAGTTCCAACCCTACTCAAGCATGAATGAAACTGAATGTATTCATGATATCCGGTCATGTGTTTCAGATGACAGCAATGTCGAGGCAGCGGTTCGCAGACCGCAGCAGCGGGGACAGATAAGGAAGGGAGGAGCCACGCATCGAGCAATCATGTGCACTGTCATGTGGCTCCTTCGGCTCCTAACGACTTGCTGCCTCGTTTATCTATCGGCATCCGACTTTCACACAGGTAAGTTCGTCTTATATTTATAGAAACACTCGACCATTTCAAACGATGATACATGTATGCATGGTTTTTACCTATAGCAACGGACAGGAGATTGAAACGAAAAGAAAGAAAGGTAAAATGCATTCTGATTGCAAATCTTCTCTATGACGACGTCTCACGTATGGCAATCCATCAGAAGAAATACGATTGATCTTTCATTCGTCTGAAAATGATGTTTTTCCCCAATCCTGACTTCTCCAATGTTAAACGGGCTTCCGATTATGTGAACTTTATTTGGACGAACTTAATTTATATAAATGTCATATACATATATTTATGTTTTTATTTCTTCGTTTTATTTCGTTTTGGCCTCCAAATATTTAAAACATTAAAAAATTTACAAATATATTTTAAACATCACCAAAAAATTGCAATTTAAACTGCAAATTTTTCCGCATGACGAGTATGCTCGTCACGACACAAAATGCTGTCATTTCTTTGTGACGTCAAAATTTTCTAACTGGTTAAGAAAACAACTTGGAGATGCATAACAGAGTCAATCTGATCTGTGAAAGAGTTTTGATTTACGAAAGGGTAAATTCTATTTAAGGAAAAGTGAATTTGATTTGGTGAAAGGTGATTTTGATTTAGTGAAACGTGAATTTGATTTAGTGAAACGTGAATTTGATTTAGTGAAAGGTGAATTTAATTTGGTAAAAAGTAAATTTGATTTAGTGAAAGGTGAATTTAATTTGGTAAAAAGTAAATTTGATTTAGTGAAAGGTGAATTTAATTTGGTAAAAAGTAAATTTGATTTAGTGAAAGGTGAATTTAATTTGGTAAAAAGTAAATTTGATTTGGAAAAACGTGAACCTCGTTTGCAAAAGTATGAATTTGTAATGAAAAAACTGTATCGATTGTGAAAATCCGGAGATTGTATTTTCTATTTTTACCGCTAATCTCACCGTGCTCTAATCTTGATGTACGTGCGGTGGTATATAGAGGAGAGAGGAGTATTTCGAAGAGGCCGCTTTCAACGTTCGCTATTCGTCTTTAGGAGGCTATACTGTGCATCAGGGAAGTACAATACAGATATGGGAACGTTAGCGAAACAGAATAACAGCGCCCCGCTGGGGATCCCAGGGAGGGAACCAGTGACAAATAAAACCGATAATAGAAAAATAAAATTTCTACATTTTTTCTTTAATCTCCGTATGAATGTCACCAATGCATTCTTAAAATTTCCGTTACAAAAATGAGTCCAAAAAACTAATTATGGATGAAATAATTTTCAATTAAAATTCTGAATTTTATTAATTAGAAGAGAACTACTATAAATGGCGCATTGCCATTATCGCGAAAATTGTGAATCTTTCAATAATAAAATTATACTTGTTTTGCAATCATATTATTATGTATATCTAATCGCACCGAATTTAAAGCAGCTAATATGTAACCACGTGAAACAATATTTTTCTGCTTGAAAGTAATATACCGAATATAATGTGTGTAGAGTCGTATTCAAACCTAGTTTTATTCCACAGACTGTGAAAAACAAGACAATTTTTCGGAAAAGAAAAGGTAAACTCTATCGTCTATTTTCGAAAAATAAGAAATTTTGTTTCGTTTGATTTTTTAAAATAAGAACGCTTCCCTTTTTTCCGTTAATAACAGACACATCAATACTCTTGTGGTATAGCTTTCAACTTGCCCTATTTAGCTCTCTTTCAGCGAGTTCTGATTGCTTTCTTTGTCGGGCGAAGTTTCCTGATCCAATTCGCGGGTGTGAACAGTTTAGTCAACAGTGAAAACACATTTCGCCTTATTTTTACACTACTTGCGAAGTAAGATAAAATTGATAGGAACAAGACTGGAGTATAAACAATTAAATACGTATATCTTGTGAATGTTAATTTGTCAGGTATTATATTTTTTCATAGAAACTGGAAAAGATGGAAATCATGTTTGCGAAAGTAAAAAGCTATGTTAACTTTATTGGCATGAATTCGTAAGAAAACGATTACAAGATAAGTAGGAAAGTGGATGCCATGAAAGACACTTTTGTTTCGAACACGTTTTAAGAAAAAACTAAAAGGCACTCTACTTCTACTCGGTACCATTAGAAGAGTCAAATGCCCGACTGTAAATGTACAGTTGGCGACAAAAGTATTCGGACGCTGTTTAAAACAGCACATTTTTAAAAATGGACAAAATAATGGCTAGATACTTTACTAATAAATGCTAATAAATACTAATAAATGGCTAAATTAGTTTTCCTTTTAATGTTGCTATTGCTTGGAATGACAAAAGGAAACAAAAAAACTTTTATCTGAGCCTATGCCAAGAATTTAAATAAAGCGTTTGTCGATCTCGGTAACTTATATGCATACTGAAAACTTTTTCGAAATCGGTTAACACAAAGTGTTAGTTTCTTCATTTTTTTAAGCGTATTTTGTGCTCTTAATAACTTGTTGATATTGAAAGAAACATTGATATTTACAAGCACTTCATTGTCTCTAATAGACACCTGCATGGCAAGGGTAAAATGTGATTTGGGTTTAAAGGACACGAATAACATCTACATTTAGTGGATTATGTTCTAAATCTTCATAGCAAGTCTAACACGATGTTATAGAGCAAAAAATTAACATAACTTTTTTAATCAACTAACCAGATACTGAAGATATGAGCCGTTTATTTTAAAAGTGGCATAAGTCACTTTGTTTTTAAGTCGATATATTTAAGGGTTTGCGTTTTAACACGTTTAAAAATATGGATGCTAACTTTCGAGAAGATTTACTTGTATTTGTTATCTCAGGATACTGATATTTTTCTCAGAATAAATAATTTCGTATAAACATTAAAAAATCACCACTTTTCATTATGGTATAGTGACTTATGCCACTTT